ATCTGGCAGGCCAACGCGAGCGATAAATTCTCAGCCATAGCTGGTGTCTGTGGGGAACCTCCAGGCACAGTGCCATGCACCACTGAGAGGGTGGCTTCGGTATGGGGGCCGAACAGAACCATCGAAACAACAGCACGCTGAAAACAAGACAAAATCGGCATGGTGTTGCCGCCGTCAACTGCGATGTGTAGTCGATCGGCATTACCTGCGAAAGTGGTGGTTTCCTCAGCCTCTAACTGAAGGAAAAACTCACCATCTCCATTCAAGGCTTGGCACGGACAGGGGGGACGTCGCCGGGAAGGGTCGATACGACACCTTCGCTGTAGAGCAAGCTTGCAGGGTCCCTTTCGGCGACCTGAATGAAGGACTCAGGGACTTCAGATTCCGCCCGAACGGTGCACACTGCAGGGGGGGTGCAGCAGAAGAGCCTGTGATGGACAGTGCATGGGCTCTCCGCGCTCACACAAGCCAGCGCGTGCAGTGCAGTAGCCGTTATCATGTGCTACCTGTTCAGTACAGGGGCAGTCGCATATGGCAGCACGAACTAAAATCTGCAGGTACTTCGAAAACTTGGACTTAATCCTTAAACAGCTTCTGACTACGTCCAGGTTAGCCCTCGCCCCTTCAGGAAACCCCCACCTCTCCCCCAGAGCCCTCTCATGGGCACCCTGGAACGCAGTGCTAAACATTCTACATAGCATTGCAGGAGAGCACTGGGCGAGCTGGATCGTGATACCATCCTGGTTGACCCACGCAATGGCTGAGGCGGGACGCCACCCTACACGGGCGAGGCAGAGCGGCACTCTGGCGATCGGGCCTCGGGCGTGGGCCCACGTGGATCCAGGCAAATCATGGGAGAAAGCTTGGTCGCACATGCGTCTTAATTCAGGCAAACTGAGCAACGCTTGATCGGGAAAGGCAATTGCCTGCCAGATCATTTTACTCCACTGGAGCGCTGGCCCCATCGCCTCGCGCACGGCAGGCTCACCATGCAATGCAAGCTTGGCGCTCAGACTGGCGCCCCTCGTCGTGGGTGCCAGGAAAGACACGGCCTGACGAAGAAGGTCGAGCAGCTCCTGGTCGTCAACTCCATTGATTTCGACGCCGCACTGAGCTGACATCTTGATGCCCGTCGTATAGACCCGACCGAGTCGACCATCTGCTTGCCTCATCGAGCGAAGCTTGGACGCCTTGATGATTCGCTGCTTGGACTTCTTCAGCCGAGTCCGCTTCTTCCTAGCCGCACCAAGATGAGCACGACGCCTGCCACAAACGAAATCCGTGCTAAGGTAGGAAGCGGCCACTTTTGACTTGTGCTTGGGCAGGCCGATCATCTCTGCAACTTCCTGGCCAAAGAGGTTGTCGCTGGCCACGACCGTTACTTTATCATTGAAGGTCGCCTGCAGATTCTTCGATACGGAGAAAAGGACGCCGCCAAGTGGTCTCAAAGGGAGGAACGTGCGGCATGCGATTTTACCCAGGCAACCGTCACATTTGCGCGTGACTCACGTTTGCCCCTTGCTAACCCACACAGCGCTGACTGAAAGCAAGCAAGGAAAGGGCGCGTTGAAGAGGTTGGGGTACGGACACTGTTGGTCTGTGCAGGGCTGTCGAGAGTTCGGGGACATCCAAGCAACATGACAAGCGA